TTTGCAGTCTTTGTCCATCATACCAACGAGGCGTTTGTGACAATGGGTCTGACAACCATTTGGTAAATCCAATAAGTATTTTAAGGACCATTTTTGGTCTTATCCCCCATGTTTTTCCCACGGGTTTGCGGTATGTACAAGTGGCCGCCGTAGCTCGTGATATTGTTTTGTTCAGATGGTTGTTCCATGTGAGTTTGCGGTCCAGGGTAACCTTTAAATACTTAACTTCATCCGAGAGAGATATAATTGTGTGCCGTTTAGAGTGGGGGATAGCAGATCCAGCCTCCTTCTTTTCGTAAACGGAGCTAAGGATTTGCTTCACTATTTTGGATTAATGAATGGATAGCATGTAATATAAGCTTTGTTGTCTGCGTATTCTGGATCAGAAACTAGTTGTGATAATATGTCTTTTTTAAATGATGATTATGTTAACAATTGCTCAACAATATTTTGCACCAAACATCGCAGTTTCGCATCGCATCGCATCGTCGCGCGCTATGCTTGTTTACGCTTGTCCTGCCGTTCATAGGCGTACGCATATAATTTCCAAAATTATTTAAAATAATAATAGTAGTCATGATTTTGTATATTTTATGTCAGACATGTAATTAAAGTATTGCAAATTGTGGAAGACCTTTAAAACCGCTCAAAAACTCTGTTGTTCTTATTTTCCCGTACGTACACCTCAGGCACATAAGTCGGCGTTCCGACTTTACAATACAAATTTTAGTTTTCAAAAAACCGCTTGCTTATATACCAAAAAGGCACATGGGAAACCAATTTTGAACAGCTCATACCGGACTATATAAGCTCAAAGGCTTTGGAATCGGTAAACGTCTTATTTCTTGGTTTGAGAACCATCCGACCGAGCGCAGACAGATTGTCAGAATTTTTAATTTTTTGTTTAATGCCATCAAGGTTCCTTACGGTGTGCCCCAAAGGTCCCACTTGCTCGACTTTTCTAATATCTAATATTATGTACATGAATGTTTCGTTAGTCACTACTTGCTTTTGCTCTTACACTAAGTTGTCTTAACAGGACTTCCAAGGATCTTGGTGTATGACTTGCATTACTCACAAGACTGGTGTTTCAACGATGGCATCATGGATCTCAATTCGAGCATATGCAAGGCCATAACCTTTTGTTAAGGACCTGGGTATAAGTTTAGATTCAACTCTCCAGTTTTCATAACACCTTCATAATGTTGTCAGTAAAGCTTTACAAATGCTGGGGTTTATTGAAAAAACAGCTCAAGACTTCAGTAATTTAAAGGCACTGAGAACAGTTTATCGTGCTCGTGTTCGCCCCCTTTTGCGTCTGGTCTCCCTTCTATGGCATCCAGATTTAGACCCTCAGTCTGGTTGAGCACACGTTTTTGAAACAAGTGGCACACAAATTAAATATCCTCAATAAGTATACTGATTCTGAAAAACTAACTCTGAAATACTAAACCATTCCACCAACTGCATCACATCATCGTTGATCTACACATCAGGAGTGAATTCCTAATGGAGAACCCGGTCCAAAAGAATCAATTTGCATATCAGCCAGGTAAATCAACTGAGACAGCCCCACACAGACTCAAGTCAAGAAACCGCTCTATGCGCATTCATGATATAGAGAGAGCTTTCGATAAAACCTCACATGAATCCTTAAGAAGAGCGGCTAGAAATAAGGACGGCTAGAAATAAAGGCTTTGACTAAACTACAATCGCATGGATTGAAGCCACGCTTGAGAATAGGAAAATCAAAGCAACCATTGGAAGTGACTCTGCAACGGTCTCAGCAGTCGAGGGATGCCCCCAAGGAGATGTATCATCCCCACTGCTGTGGTCACTGGTAGTAGATGAACTCATCGCGCTAAGCGCCCAAGGGATTATGGTCCTAGGATATGCTGACGACCATCATCATAACAGGATCATTAGCGACCTCATGGAAAATGCCCTAAATGTCATTATTAGATGGTGACTACAGCAGGGTTTAAGCGTCAACCCCAACCTCAAATGGGATACAAATCAACTTCGCAAGTGAGGTTCAATATCTGGGAGTCATTTTAGATCAGAAACTTACTTAGAGCCAACATCTTAAGAGGGCAATAACCACATACTGGACATGCCGGAGATTATTCAGCAAGACTTGGGGTCTAGAGCCAAAAATGATCTATTGGTTATTTACAAATGCTTGTAAGACCTATGGTCACTTAACGCTGCAATAGTATGGTGGCCAAAAGTAAAACAACAGACAGCGCAAAACCGATTGGTAACTCTACAAAGGTATGAATGCCTTGGAATTAGAGAAGCAATTAACACCTGTCCAATCGCCGCAATGGAGGCCATGTTGGGTCTCCCCCCCACTAGATAAAATAGTGAGGAGCCTACATGGAAGCCTCGAGAATAATGCAATCCCTAAAACTGAAGGATTGGAACTTTGTCGGCCACATGAGCATTATGAGAGAATTCATAAATGTGAAGACTAAACCAGTTGATCACATGCAACACAGGTACGAATTTGAACACTCCTTCAAAGTGACTATTGAGGGCTGCAAGGGATAAAGTATCCTACCTGTATTCCCGAACGGGTCATGTGTCTGGTACCTATACGGACGGATCGAAGAGAACAGAGCAAGGGACTGGAGGAGAGGTATACGGCCTACTTTGTAGACTATCAACAGCCCTATGAGAAAGCCCAACCATATTTCAAGCCGAAATATTCGCAATAGAACATTGCACAAGAAAGTGTCACGAAAGAAGCCTGTGAAGACCGACAATCAGGCAGCACTAATACTCCAAGACAGTTAAAAATTCTTATATGGTGAATTGGGAACAAAATAACATAAAGCTGCGACTAATCTCACTCGATAGAATTTATGGTCCTGATGAACATACTAAACGTCCCCAGACCTCCTTCTAGGGGAACATTGTCAAAAGAGCGCCGCCATCTTGGATTTTTGACATTTTATGCTTAATTTACACTACCCTCACTGAGATAGGTGCTCAAGAAGTACTGCCAAGAAACAATTTTTTGCCTAATTTTCATTTTACTCATAAACCACTCACTTTTTAAGAAATATGAAGAGACGTAAATCGAAAAATTAAATCTGAGTGTACATAGGTATTAACGAATATCCGCGGTGGTACCCTTACCAAGATAGGAGCCGATGAAGTACCGCCGACATAGGATTTTTTTAGTTTTCTTTTTGAGAGAAAAGCATCAGCAAGAAATTTCAAGAGCGTGACTTAAAACTTATTTCTGATATGAGTACTCGCGTGCGGAAAGTGTCACTTTTCCGCAGCGATTACAGTTGGCCGAACGATGCGAAGCGGAGTTCTTCCAAGCAATCAAGTGAAGAAAAGGGACTTTCCGCACGAGTATGAAACAATATTTTTTGTACTAGATGAAAATTGATACTTGTACCTCTACTTATTTCAAATACAATTTTAGATATTTTCCCTTTCCGCCCTAGTGCGGAAAAGTAATGCGGAAAAGTGACACTTTCAAAACTGAAATGCGTGCGGAAAGTAGGCTTATCCGCACGCTAGTAAAAACACCTTTCACGGCATTTATTAAAAATCCTCAGGTGTGTTTTCTTGACTTCCAGTCATTAAATAACATAGTGGGCGTACTATATGAGTGATACGATTACGAACCACCGCAAACAGCTGACTCGACTATCCCTCTTACTGAAGTATTACGTACGGATAAGATTTGAATGCGATACGAAAATACGAGAATAGTCGGGGTTTGAGGTTTGGAATGTGTTCTTTTTATTATCCGGTGCAGGGTCTAGTGTGATTGGCTGGCGTACTATATATATTCTCCATATTGACTTGACACAAACAGACACAAAAGTGAAGTTGTCAATTAATGTCAAATTGTTTACGTTTTTTTATCTATACTGTATTTTTTTCCAAGATGGATTTTGACATTGTCAACTTTGAAACATAAACAATGCCGCTTATTGGTCACAAGATGCCATTTGCACGACATGCATTGTAAAACTGATGTCAACCTGCAGATACACCTTATTTTGCGACCATTCAGGGCTAAGCGGTATTGTTTGTTTCAAAGTTTTCGATGTCAAAATCCATCTTGGAAAAAAATAGACTTTATGTGAAATTATAAGTCATTTCCATTTCCATCAAAATACAATTTTGGTTGCCTTATTTTGCAGTTGTAGAAGAAGCATTGCAAAAAACTCGTTTAAACTGTCTCGGCCGTGCGAAAAAAGTCGGTTTCAAAATTTGTTGTTTAAATAACTATTGTTGTTATATGTTTGTAGGTACCTATCATAACAGAGTAAACAAGTTTCTATATGTATATGTAGTATGTAGGTAGAATACACGTTAGTAATATTATGTTTCGTTGATCGCATTTGTTGTAAAACCTATTCTGAAGCGTTTAAAATGGATTTAGATTAAATTTCCTACAAAACGCAACAACATTCAGTTATATTGCATATGGAAAGCGGTATTTCGGCGGTACTTCTTCGGGTCCTATCTCAGTAAGGGTTGTAACCAGGAAGTTCAAAAATAACTCTTTTCAAAGGTTTTTTTGTGCTCTCCGATTTATTCCTCTTCATATTTTCTCGAAAAATAAGTAGTTTTCGAGTAAAACGTAAATTAAACAAAAAATATCAAAAATCCAAGATGGCGGCGCCATTTTGACAATGTTCCCCTAAGGGGAAGTCTGGGGACTTTTAGTATGTTTATCAGGACCATAAATCCTATCGATCAAGACTAGTCGCAGCTTTATGTTATTTTGTTCCCAATAAAATTATAACTGTCTTGGGGTATAAGAGCTCTTCCACTAAGTCCAGACTGGTATGGGATTGTCAACAACTCCTAAACCAACTGTCGTCTCGCAATAAAGTCACTCCCGTGAAAACATCGCACCAACTTGCAAGATAAGGAGCTGCAACAATATTTCTTGGAACAGAACCTTTCTTTGGCATAGGCATACTTACTTAGGCTACTTACAGACCTCTTATCTGCCCTCTGGGTTACCACCTGGTAAAGATGGACAGAACAGAATCAGACCTATGTCGCTTTTGTGGAAAAGCCTCTAAGTCTGCGTAATACAAGCTTTGCGACTGTAAGGCATTTTGCCGCAGAAGGCTCATCCATCTAGAGCAGCTCTCCCTAAAGGCTGTGGATGTGATTGAAGCATTATAGGCTTTGCTAAAAGCCTTAATTTGGGAACCCACTAGATATAAGGGGGAGCACAATAGATCTAATCAGGTCGCAGTGCGAAAAGATCCAGAACTTAAACACCCCAACCATCACAATCTACGTCTCTCAATCTTGTATCACGTCAGAAAATAAGAGATTTACAGTGACGGACTAGCCCGGCGGGCTGGCGGGCGGAGCCCGCCGCGCCCTTAAGATTTAGCGCCCCATCGGCATCGTTTAAGGTTTAAAAATATTTTTTAATAAATTCGGAATATCGATCACTTATTAATTTAGTGCTCTCAAATTAATAAAAATTTAGAATTTCCATTAAAGTTTTATATTAAATTCTGAGACTTTTACCGCGCCCGATAGAGGGCGTCTCTGTGAATTAGGTTTGGTTTGTAATTTGTATTCCAACCGTCACGCTATTCTTGTGCCGAGAGCCTCCCGCCCGACAAGCACCATATTGCTTGTGCCTTGCGCTTTCCTCGTGTATTCGTTCTAGTGAAGATTAGAGTAGATTACCAGTGCAACAGTTTGCAAGTCTTGCAAAAGCTGTATTTATTGCAGTTACAGGCTATCAATCAAATTCAATCTTAGAACCAGTTTGACACGGTCCAAGTGCTTGGTCGACGTGCAGTTAGAGTTAGATGAGAGCTTGGATCATGTTGGAAGCACTCTTGCTTACTTGGATGAACAGTTGGTACTATCCAAGTATCGTCCAAGTGAGGCGCGCGCAGCGTCCAAGGCTACTTGATCCACGTACACTTGGACCGTGTCAACCTTCACGCTTATCCAATACTTTCGAAAGCTTACAAATATTTGTCGACTATCAGTTGCGCAAATTAATTGTGATCGAAGCTCAAGAAGCTGAAGTATTTTTAAATCAATTACGAAGTAACCTAAATCATCACAACAACCTGGAAGTGTTTATGATAATGTCTATGGAAAACAAATTTACTTATGTCGTTCGACAATAACGAAATTATCAATAATGTACCTAAGACTAGCGAAAACCTCAATAAAATGTTGATTTTTTTTGGGAAACAAATAACGGTGTGGTAATTCATTCTGGTCGATAACATATGATTAACCTAACTTTCAACTAGGAGGTATAGGGTTACTTGAGCCTGGGAACTTTTTCGATAACGTGGGAAAATCCGCGAATTTTGCTGGTTTTGTGCTGGTTTTCACTGGTTTAGGTCGGTTTAGCTGTTTTTTTGCTGGATTTCGCTGGTTTTCACTGTTGTTTGCTGTTATAGCAGGTGTTGTGCTGAACTTTACAAAACCAGCTAAACCAACATAAAACCAGTGAAAAGCAGTGAAAGTCAGCATGAAACCAGTGGAAACTAGCATAAAACCAATTAAACCAGCATAAAACCAGTACAAAACCAGCAAAAACCGCCGAATTTCCGACGGTATCGAAAAAAGTTCCAAGGCTCAAGTGACCCTATACCTACCTACTTCAACTTTTTCTTGGTGATGGCACCCCATGTAGAAAATCGCCCGTCGTAAGTTCAGAACCCAGTCCGTTTCTGGAGATTTACACATTTTTTAAAATATATTACATGGAAAAGCCGCAGCCCGAGAATCGCTCCACAAAATTGATATACGTGTTCCCTCTAAACCCACAACTACAGATAGCTTTCATTTCCCAGCTCATTGAACTAACTATGGCCTAAATACTCTGATTTCCAAAACTGCCAGATTAGCTAATCAACATCATGACATAGATTTTTTTGCATGTTGCAAAACGGTGTCAGGTGCTTAACTGTTATAATCTGTGATGTAAAGGAAGTGACTGAACTGAATGGGATTCTAATTATTTATTCATATGCGTACACCCCAAAGTTAAAAATTAAAATAAACAATAATAATTGCATACGTTTAGTTGTAAGGGTTTCTGCTATTGTTATTTTCTTGTTGGTGCTTTGTATGATATTGGTGCTTAATGATTATTAAAGTTCACTGTGTTTTTTTCTGTTATTCTGTACTCTTGAAATTTCAGATAAACTCTACTGTATTCAGGAATACTTTGCCTATTCAATTTTTAGCCAAGTATTATAGTTAGGACCTCTTCAACAACATCTCAGGTGGAATAGAAAAATTATTGTTGAGAAGATGCTTAGTAAAAACTATTGGTATTCGACCCTGTTGATAAAACACTTAGATGCTGTAGACAGAGAGATCGCAGAATTGATTGAAAAAGTATTTACAAACATTTTGAGCAATAAATTATGGCATAAACATTGACCCTTACTGTTTTTATACCTAAGCCGTCAAATTGCTATACCTACCAAATTACGTATTTTTTTTATTTTCAAAAGCCTCAGAGATAATTGAATGCGACAGAACAATGAGCAACAAAATCTTTCCATAAGGCCTTATTATATTTAAAGACCTTCAAATATTGTTAAGATTTACGTTGCTTCAGTCTCGACAGTTATTCAAACACATTCATGTTCGAGAAATCATTTTTTTCTGTAAAAAATAGTACCACCTACCTACTCAATATTTTTTGTGGCCCTGCTCTATTCAGCCCACGATTGCCTCTGTTTTGGAAAAATTAACGAGAAAACCAATTATTGCATCTTGTTTAACTCCTATGAATATTCAAAAACTGTTCTATTGTTTCCAAAAATAATTGAATAACCAAATTCTGACATTATTTATCAACATTTTATTACCAGAATATGACTACCACATCTCCTTGAGATTAGGCTATTACAGAACATGATAAATTAATTTTTATAGGTTCATCTTAATTTATTAGTACCTATACCTGAAATTTATCTAGGTGAAGTTTTAGCAAACAAAAGTACCTAATATCTAAATCTTGATTAGATTTTTTAAATTTTTTTCATTAAATCTCCTAAGGCATATTGGATGGATGCACTAGTTAAGACATATGTACGCAAATCCCTCTCGAAAAGCGTCTTTGCAATATATTCTCTATAGCAGTCTGCCACTTGGTAAATATCATAGGAACAGGTCGAGGAGGTTTAAAGTCGTAAGAGAGGGTTAATGCGAATCATAAAGGCTGCAACTTTAATATCTAAAGATGTGGGGAAATGAGAGAAACCTTGGGGAAATATGAGAGAAACCTTGCAAAAGGTTTAAATAGATGAAGAAAATACGGAGGAGCTTCGCAAAAACTTTGTTTTTCAAATACAATTTCAGGAGCATCATAGAAGAGGCATTTTTTCACCTTAATTAAAACAAAATTGCCTCAAGTTAGTTGGAAGAATATTACAATAAGCCCCCATAAATATTTAACAAAGGAAACCCGATATTATTTAGTAAAGTTATTACATAATAAAGTTTGTATATCCCGTTAATATTACCTTTCATAAAATGGAGTTTCAATAATAGGCTTTATTCAACATGTCAATTAAATGATTAATCAGAGTTTATTTATTAAACCCTAGACAGGGTGTTTACCCCACGGCCATTATATAAACCCCTCAAAACTAGGCTTTGATTTTAAGATTCCCACTGTTGAAGTCTCACACGTTCAAATCTAGTTAAAATCTCATTACTTTCGATTGCCTTCAATTATGCAACATTTGCGACCACAATATTAGCTCAAGGATTAATTTATTTGAACTTGCGAGTGACGTTGTTTATTGATCATCTAATATCTGCGATTTATTTTCAATTTAACCAGTGTTTAAATAGTCAGTCATACATAATCACTCTACAGGATTATATCAGAAAGCACTTTAGTAACAAAGTTTTTGTCGAGAAGCTAGTTAAATTAGATGTAAGACTCTTGTGCTTAACTTTTTGTTAAGTACATACGTCGGGAGTTAGCTTCTCAATTTGTCCTATTCTTGATAGTTCCTCGATAGCTGTTCTTTATGTGTACATTTACGGTTCTCCGAATCCAATATGAGAACCTGCGCCATTGTCTTTGTAAAATATTTACTTGGCGTATGCTCTACATAAATACATTTTAAGTTGAATATGGATTACGGTGAAAAGCGACTCAAAATATCGGAAAAGTTCGTTAAAAACAAAATTGAAAAATAACTTGGCACGGTTTATCCACGCTTCGGTGAAAAATCGAAAATAGAGAAGTCTCTCCCTGGCAGCCATATGCATCCTATATCAGTTAGTATGAAGATCTTGTCTGTATTTCGGGTACAGAAAAGGGGGGAATCGATGATGACGTAAAACTTTTGCCGTGTCATGAAATTTCTTTCCATAAAACTCGGATATGTCTAGATTCTCCAGGCATGTGGCAAAATCGATTTTTACCATCCAATCAGACTCCTGAATAACGATATTAAGTCGTGATTACTACCGAGATCCAATGGCAGAAGTAGCTGACTTTAATGAATATACATTTTAGAAATAATTGGCTATTGAAGGAATCAAAGTACAAGGTTATGATATCGATTATATTAATGTTGACAAAACTAAATAGGTACTTTTAAGAAGAAAGCTGCCTTTGGAGAGTACCTAATATAAAGTAGGTACTTAGGTACTCATTCCAATGACAAATCGACAAATGACAATCACGCCTAGTAATTATTCCATAGGTACATAGGTACAACCTTTTGCAACTATGTTACTTTTCAAAGCGAAAACTCTAGATATAGGTACCTAATTGAAAATCATGGCGATTATCAAGGTATAAAAGCCACCAACAAATAAAAAACCGGCGGGTACCTTCCTTGGTAAAGTAATTAATGAAGCGTACTTCCTGTGTGACTTCTCGCCAAAGGAAAACAATAATCGACCATTTTTAATTCTAAAACATTCTACCATTGTGGTACTTTCCTAGGAAAATAATTATTCTCAATAACAAAGCGTTACGTTCATTTTATACGAGCTCTAATCAATAAATTTATGGGTAGGTTCTATTCAGATGCAAAGCTTTCAAATTAAATTTTTTAGACATTTAAAAACTAAACAAAAAAAAAATTAATGGGTAGCTGGATAGGGAAATAGGTATGCATGACATTAATTGAAAATTTATTTTATTCCAACGTCCAGCAATTTTATTATTATTATTATTATCCAGTATCTGGTTGAAGAATTGATTTATGATCTATTATTGGTTTGCGCCATTTCGATTCTAATTTTAATTGCACCCCCAACGTAATTATACATTAAAATGGCTGGCGCCATCTAGGAAAGAGTTTATTACTGAAAACCGCCCCCGATGGACACGAGTGCGCAAGCTCTGTGCGCTCAAAATTTCAAACTTGCCGGCGTTTTTTTGAATGGAAAATTAGTTCCTGCGACACCTAATAGATTGTTTACGATTTCATCATAGAAAACAACGACGAGATTAATTATCTGCTATGAGATTTATGGCAAGTAAACAAATCTACTTAATTTGGGTATTTCAGTTCATAAGTAAATAAAGAGAGATTACCGCATAAAAAATAATACATAAGGCAAGTGTTGCGCAATTTTTTTTTTACATTATAAATGTTCATAAGAAATTGTAGCTTGATGTTTGTTTCTTTACTTGTGCTGTTTCAGAATCAAATTTCGGAACATCTATGAAATGTCATGTCCTGATAATCTCAATATCCTGTGTCCCGTCGGGTTCTTACCTGGACTTGTCTGCCAACTGAGTCCGCCGATAAACATTTTCCTAAAACAAAAAAGAAAGAACCTTTAGAGGTGCGGGGGCGGGGCGTAAACACGTGTTCAACCACCGGCGACGCTGCCAAATCACTCACCCGGGATCATTTGGCACCTCAGCGGGTGATCCGGCGGCGACGAGTTCCTGATTTTGGCTCTCCATCACACTGAGTTACAAATTGCCTGAACTACGACTACACTAAAGGTAAACAGAGACCGGGATAAAGCTGCCGAGCCCGATCGCGTGCTGTGCTCCGCTATCAACACGGTACTGGAGAGACGTCGGACGTCGCGCGCGTTCGGGCGCCTTCGCGGGCGCCGGGCGCAGGCGCTCGCCTCGTCTCGGCGCCCAATAACGTTGTCGTGATTGGGTGCAATCCGTGCAGTGCGACGCTGTGACGCAACGGCGGCCGCGGCGCCCATCCGCGCCCGATGCATGCACGGCTGACGTTGTTGCCGGCTGATGCGATGCACTGGACGCCCTCCCGCAATTCTGACCATTATAATTAATCTTTGCCGCGAATTGAATAATATAATTATTATTTAATTACGTATAGATTACGGCGGATCTGATGTAAAAATATTAAATAAGCTTTACCATTTCCCTAATGTCTGTAGATATAGATATATAGATGAACTCTGATATGATATGACGACAAATCCCAGAAGCGTTAGCTAAAAAAAAGTTTTTTTTTTATGATTTTGTTTGAATAAATGAGACCTTTTTATTTTTCTCAAATTATTTGAAACCAAACAAAATCTCTGGGAAATACATGAAAAATGCATTAAAGTATTTAAAAAAAAACCAGTTATGTCGTGCGTACCTATTAAGTATGATTGACACGTTCAGATACATGAGATATGTGATGTCAGTGATTTACGCACCTGAAAGTATGAAAATAATTTGATATCTGTAATAGATTAATATTGAATATTATTGTCTTTATCAGTGTAGGTAGCCCACGTAAGATGAAATCAAAAATGTGTAATTTTTTTGTTCGTTTTCCGATTCTGATTGGTATTTTTTTTTTTTTTTTCAAATGACCACGCACAAATTACATTGAAAAGTGATTTCGGTGAAATTGCTTGAATTTTTGATACCTATGTTGTATCTTGTTTGATTTTCCAAAAAAAAAAAAAAAATAAGGGAGTGGATTGGATGGTTTCGCCGCTACCGCTAGTAGAAAAAAAATAAGACCCGCACCGTAATGCGATTACCTACAAGGTAATAATTAGGTTGTACCGGTTATAGGTAACAATATAATAATGCACAAGGTACATTATTAACACACAGGTATAATCCAATATAGGTGACATAGGTTTTTAAAAACTATATATTTTTTGAACTATTTTTCTGGGGTTTAATATATAAGTTGTTTCATTATTTGAACTAACTATCGCAAAACTGAACAAAAAACTTCAAAAATATGAATTTTAAATACATAAGCCCCTACGCAGAACATGATAGGGTTATGCTTTGCTATAGTGACTAGTCTATAATAACTGGAACATCATCATGGGGATTGTGGTGTTTATTTGCGGCATCACCAATATGTTCAAGTAACTTAACTGAGGGATCTTTTATACAGGGTGTCCTAGTAGCCGAGATTGACACATTTTAAATGCTTATAACTTTTAAACCAGGTGTGCTGCGGTTCGCGCCATTCGATTTTTCTTGGCCTAAAGTTTTTTTTTTGTAGGTTGCAAATTTTTTTGAAACTTATACAGGGCGAATAAAAAAAAATCCGTTTTTGAACATCGAAATTCTCCACTATTTTTAATGGAACACCCGTATATCACAACGTCAAAAAAAAGATACATGTTCAAGGTATCCATGTACCAATAGAAATCGTCCCTAAAACTTGAAGTTTTAGCCGAGAAAAATCAAAATCCAAATCTTGGTATTTTTGCAAACGCATGCGTTGTAGGGACTTATTATCACTATGGCAAACAATTTTGTAACTGTTTAATTAGATATCAATTAAGTAAAATACATTTTCCAAGAAAATTTAACGAGTTCCAGAGAATTTTCTCTTGACTCGTTAAATAGAGATACCCGAAGAAGAACAATTTGATGTGCAATCTCTATTGAGACCAAGATGGCGGAAAATGAAAGTCAACAAAAATTGTCGTCCGAAAATTCGGAAAAAAAACTATAATATTACCTTGCATTTTTTGGGACTTACACCTCAATTGAAATTAATACCAGAAGTTTCTTGATTTTGATACGAATTACTACAAGCTCTCTGATTAGAGCAATTTTACCTATCAGATTATTTTTATAAAATAAATTACTCGAGTCGACTTTTAATAAACGAATCGAGTTTTATTATTTTAATAAAATAATACTTGATTAGGCTCGGTGGTATGAGTTCTGGATTTTTTGCTGACGTTTCGGTACCAAATCTGCTACCGTTGTCGAAGCTTGGGGGATTGAAAACCTAAAAAATAAAAAAGGCAGAAAATTGTTCGGTTTTTTCGTAAATTTGTTTGAATACTCGAATTTGAGTTATCAAGCAAAAATTACAAATTTGACTAATGTCGTGTCAAACTTTTGACAATAATCATATCTAGGAAATGGTGGTATTTTCTAAAGGTGAGATTTTTAATTAATTTTCAATTTACCTTGGTTTACTTCTGATTCAAGCAAAGGAAGCCACGTATTACTAAATGATGTTGAGCATGAAGCAACACATTCGTCTTTATTTAATAAAATTAATGCGCTCTCTTTCATTTTACGTGTTTTTGAAAAAGCTTCCTTTGCCAGAATGCTAGAAACATTCCAGTTGATTTGATAGTTATTGTCAAAAGCATGTTGGCATATGTTTGATTTGTTAAAGTCCCCGTTTTTTATGTAGTTCTTGTGTTCTTTGATACGTTTTTGTAATGGCCTACGAGTTTCACCAATATATAATTTATCACATTGATTACATGGAATTTTATAAATTACGTTTTTAGTACGAATAGTCTCATTATTTGGTTTTGTTTTTGTAATTTGTGATCTTATTGTGTTTTGTGTTTTGAAAATTGTGCGTATATTGTAGTCTTTACTGATTCGTTTTATTTTGTCTGACATGCCTGGTATATATGGTAAGTGAAGATTGGCTATTGGTGGGTCTGCGTTTTGTTTAGGTTTTGGATTTTCGAAGTTTATGATGCATTTGTTTATGAATTGTTCAGGGTAATCGTTTTGTTTTAGTATATTTTTAATGTTTTGTTTTTCTTTAGTGAAAGTATTGTGATTGTTGCATATTGTTTTGGCTCTGTCGTATAGGTTTTTAACTACACCAGTTTTAATCATGATTGGGTGATTTGAATTGAAGTTTAAATATCTGTTTGTGTGTGTTGGTTTTCTGTATATTGTAGTTTCAAATTTGTCTATGTCTTTTGTGATAAGTATGTCTAAGAAAGGTAGTTGGTGATTTAGTTCTTTTTCTATTGTAAATTGTATAGTTGGTTCTTGTGAATTTATGTGTTGAAGAAAGTTATTAAGGTCGTCTTCATTGTGAGTGTAAATTGAAAATATGTCGTCTATGTAACGCCACCAAATAATGGGTTTTAAGTTATAATTTTCAATATTATTAATTTCGAAATCTTCCATAAAAATATTACTTAAGAAAGGTGATAAAGGTGAGCCCATGGCCATACCAGAAACTTGTTGGTAATATTCGTCATTGTATTGAAAATATGTTGTTTTTACACAAAATGTTAGTAATTCTAAAATAGTATTTACTGAAAGGTTAGTGCGTTCAATAAGTCTATTGTCGTGTTCTAATTTATGTTTAACTATGTTGAGTGTTTTGTCTATGGGAACGTTTGTGAATAAGCTAACAATATCGAAACTAACTAAAATGTGATTGGGATTTATGTCAATTTCTGATAGTTTTTCTAGAAAATGTTGTGAATTTTTTATGTATGATTCTGTATTGTTTATCAGAGGATTGAGTATAGAGAGAAGGTATCTGGATAATGGCTGTGTAGGTGAGTCTATGCTACTGACTATTGGTCTTAGTGGATTGTTAGGTTTGTGTATTTTTGGAAGACCGTAGAAATGTGGTGATTTACTGTGATGTGGAGTAAGTTTGCTACGTTGTATATCATTGAATTGGTTTTTATGTTTTTTTAAAAGATTGTATGTTTGTCTTTCAATGCGTTCTGTTGGGTCTTTGTTTAATTTTGTATAGACGTTTTGAGTAATTAGTGATGATATTTTTTGTTCGTATGTGTATGAATCTAATATAACAGTTGCGTTACCTTTGTCTGCTGGAAGTATTTTAATTGTGTTGTCTTGTTTTAGTGATTTAAGTATTTGGTTTTCTTTGGATGTTAGGTTTTGTTTGATTTTGAATGTTTTGTCAAGTGTGATTTTAGTTCTGACCCTAAATTCTTCTTGTTGTGTTTCTGGTAAGTGTTGTGATGTTTCTTCAAGTGATGCTATAATGTCAAATTTTGGAATGTGTTTAGGTGTTATTGAAAAATTTAAGCCTTTTGATAAAAAGATTTTTTCATCATCTGTTAATTGTCTATTTGATAAATTTATCACTGTTTTTTCAATAAAGTTATTATTTTTAGATTCTAAAATATTATTATTTGATTTTTCTCGATTGAGAATGTTAAATTTATTTTCATGAATTTGTTTTTGTTTTTGAAATTTAATATTATAACTATTCAATGTACAATTACAGATATGAAGAAAATCTTGAAAAGATGTATGTTGTTGTATTTTGATCTCTTGTTATGTCTATTTGTTGTTTTAGTTTTAATTTGTTATATCTATGAAATTGTATTCTCTCTCTAAGTAATGATTTTTTAGCTCTATCTAAAATTTTTTGTGTTCTATTGTTATTGTAAGATGTTTTTAGGCGTAACGATTTAGGTATAATGTTATGTTGTCTACATTTACATAAGAATGTTAAGCTATTTTCTGAGTGTTGAAATTTATCATACAGTGTTTCTAAATGTCTCAACGTAGAACAGATAAAAGGCCCATACCTGTTTTGTAACAAATGTCTGTATGTTTGAGGTGGATTTATAATATTACCTTGCATTTTTTGGGACTTACACCTCAATTGAAATTAATACCAGAAGTTTCTTGATTTTGATACGAATTACTACAAGCTCTCTGATTAGAGCAATTTTACCTATCAGATTATTTTTATAAAATAAATTACTCGAGTCGACTTTTTATAAACGAATCGAGTTTTATTATTTTAATAAAATAATACTTGATTAGGCTCGGTGGTATGAGTTCTGGATTTTTTGCTGACGTTCCGGTACCAAATCTGCTACCGTTGTAGAAGCTTGGTGGATTGAAAACCTAAAAAATAAAAAAGGCAGAAAATTGTTCGGTTTTTTCGTAAATTTGTTTGAATACTCGAATTTGGGTTATCAAGCAAAAATTACATGTTTTTGGCCGCAAAATGTGATTTCTAGGCCATTCACCTTTAGAAAAAGACAACAAAAACAAAATTTTCAGTTGACCCAACCTCCCAACAACCTAAGGGAGCTCTAACATTCTATTACCAAAATGTTAGAGGTATAAGGACCAAAATCAATGATCTCATGTGTAATGTACTCGTGGAGGATTTCGATGTGATATTGCTGACAGAAACATTTCTGGATTGTGAGATAATGAGCA